AGAAGTACCACTTCTCTTGGGGCTTCTGTACTATATTACTGCTGCTCTTTATAATTTGAAATAAATCTTTAGATATGTTCTGGTCTGCCATCTCTACCTGTGGAGCTTGGGGTTGAAGCCAGGGCCTCCTCCATGTTAGCTGATTTTTTTTTTTTTAAAGACTTTTAGCAAAGGAGCTCCTACAAACATCTGAGGAAGAATAGTGATTGATTTCAAAGCTTTTATGTAGTTTTACTACCATCCACTAAAACCCCAAAAAATTACAGAGTACAATAAAATATGCTTTGGCTTCTTTACACTACTTAATGAACTGTTCATCTTTTACAGACTTATTCCAACAAACTCCACATCTACTTCAATGCAGTCAATTAGGACTACAGTGTGGTTAATTTTTGACTGTGGCTTTTTGGGGGAGATGACCATAATCAGCTGTGAAAAACCTAAATAACATAATCTTAAATCAAGTGCAGTTGTATTTACGTACAGCTCATCAACTTAATGGAGAAAGTGTGAGCAAACTGAAGTCTTTGGGGCTTGTTTCAATGAACAGATAGAAAAATGACGTGATTAGCACAGCTGTTCTTGGTTAACCAACTCACAAGCCACACACATGGCAAACTCAATTAATCACACTATGGATTTCCCCACAAACTTCTTACCCCTGTACATACTGTGAACATAAGAAGTTCACAAATTGGGAGTTCACTCAACCCCAACATTCTTCTAATTTGTTTTACAAGGACTTGGGAGTTTTGCCACTGGAAAAGTCTCTGTTGCTTTCCTTTTTTTTTTCATTTTATGTATATGGTACAGGGTGTACAAGGACTCTTTACACAGCTCTGACTCCTAGTGATTCTCCTGTTTTCAGCCTCCCAAGTGCTGGGATTACAGGAGCACGCTACCATGCCCAGTCTCAATCGCAGTCTCAGTGTGCCCTGGGGGTGGGGCCAGCATGGCACACTGAGGACTGAACCCTGGCCACTGTGCTCTGCCTAAGCAGGTACTTGAATCCACTGAGCTATCTGGCCAGCCCCCAAGTTTTTAAAAGATTTGCTACTCTCTACCCTGGCAGAGGTTTATAAAGTGAAAACAGATATTGTAACTGATTCTGACTTCTAAAATCAATGAAAATGTTCCTCTAACTACAAAAAAAAAAAAAAAAAAAAAAAAGTGTTCAGTACATTATCAGCAGTTGCCACAGATCCATTTAAAACTGGGTTTTTCTTGATGGATTTAAAATGAAATCATGTTTTCTATTTTTCCTGCAGCAGGGTGTTTTTCAACAGGTCTTATGAATTCCTGGATTATCTGACTTTCTCCCACTAGGCCAATGACAAACTTACAGATGCTATGAAGACTAGAACACCATCCTTCTCCAGTGTTTTATATACAAACACACTCATCAACAAGTGTAATGCATTATTTTGGATATTTCTTATAAAAATCTTTTCCTCCTGGGTGCTCGGGTCCACTTCTGTGAGGCTGACCATTCATCCCCCAAGCTACTCACCCCGTACATGTGCGTGGGATGAGTGCCTACAGGCCAACAGAGTACGAGCAAGCTCCAGGGGGTGGTAAACTCACATCTTCCTCTTCCCAGAGCCTGTTCATTCAGCTCTTGAATGATAAGAATGCCTCAATGCAAGGTTGTCAAGCAGATCAGACTCTGGATGTTAAAACTCGAAAAGCTAATCTTGGACACAAACATTAAAAATTCTTATCTTGAGGGCTTCCACACTCTACTCACTCTTGAATGGGCTTCCAAACATTAAATACATTCCCTGGCTGAAGAAGGCACATCCTCTGAGTCCGCATCTCATTTCCTTTGTTAAATTTAGGAGGGCTGTGGTACAACACCTACAAATTAGCCTTGCAGGCCACCGGCGGCGATGTAAGTCTGCTCTGAGGTCTCCGCAAACAATTTCAAAATCAAAAAGGCAGCCGGCAGAAGAATGACAGCAGCAACAAAATTATCACAACTAGTTATTGACATAAAAAATGATCACAATGAAACCAATGTAATGTCTAACAATTACACTAAGAGCCACGGAAAACTGAGCCACGTGCCTTGAACTTTAAAATCCTTGACTGCGCTCAAACACAGACATCTATGCAAACAGAAATGGGGTTAGAAACCAGAGTTAGAAATGAACCCCTCCCCCCAAGGCTCACACACCCCGTGAACATATTTAGTACTTTCGTGAATACAGTGGAAGCCTTAATTGCCCAAGAAAGCAATTCCCTGAGGCTTGTAATCACAAGCGCTCAGTCTACGATCTGTTCCTGCACTCCTGGGCCCAGCTTTGGCCAGCCAGAACCACTGCCTGCTGCTGGTCTTCCAGCGCTGACCCATGACCCTTCCTAATGTCCTCCCCAGGGTCTGTCCCTTACCCTAGGCCCGGCCCAGCCTTCACAGGCCTTCTCCAGGCCTACACTGGCCACTGTGGAAGCAGCATGCAGGGCTCAGAGACAATTGATTTCTCTTTAATCCAAACTTTGATGTTGATTATATTTATTAATAAATCTTCCTACCTCTTCAGCCCTCCTTAGTATAAGTATTTGACAATGTACATTTTTAAATGTGAGTGTAACAGCCTTCCCTTCTTTTTTTAAAGAATAAAATTTTATTGTTTCCAAATGTGCAGCTGGTTGAGCCTATTCATCATGCATCTTCACCAGCGGCAGGGGCATCTCTGCCCTTGGTGCTTCTGGTATAAATAACTTGAGCTCTGTGCTTTGAGACCAGCTTGACAAGCTCTTTACTAAGGAGCTCCTGAAGGGCTGCTCTGGCCAGTGATCCACGGATCTTCAGCCTCTCCGAGACCACAACAGGCATTGTAAGTTTATAGCTGGGAACATCCTTACAGAGTTTGTCATAAGTAGCTTTATCAATCAGAACCAGGTTGTTGAGACTGTCCTGAACTTTGCTGTTAGACCACTTCTTTTTGGCTTTGTCCCCAGATTTGTTCACAGGGTGTTGGTCTCGCTTGGCCACCTTTCCAGTATTTTTCTTCTTCTTGTCATCTTTCAGCAGCACTGCAAAGCCTGGAGAGCAGCGGCTACCACTCCTCTTATTTTTTTGTATTTGAGACAAGCTCTTACCACATAGTTTAGGCTGTCCTTGAGCTCACTATGTACCCCAGCCTAGTTCTGAACTCTCTGTAATTCACCTGCCTCAGCCTCCCAAGTGCTGGGATTACAGACATGCACCACATCTGGCTCTCCCCAATCCCATTCTTATCTGCAGTTTTGCTTTCTGTAATATCAGTTGACCTTGGGCAACTGGTCTGAAAATAATGAATGGGAAATTCTAGAAATAAACAATTTGTAAGTTTTAAATTGTGTGCCTTTTCTGAGCCACCCTGCTCCATCCTGCCTGACATATGAATCCTCACTTCATCCAGTGTATCTGTGTGGTATATGCTACCTGCCTGTTGGTCACTTAGCTCTCTTGTTTGTCAGATCCTAACTACTGGAGTATCCTGGTATTATAATGTCTGTGCTCAAATAACCCCTATTTTACTTCATCATGGCCCCAAAGAACAAGAGTAAGATGGTGGTAATGTAATAGCAGTACACTGTTATAACTGTTCTTTTGTTGCTGTTGTTCATTTTCCTGTGTCTAACTTACAAATAAAATCTGACCTGCATGGCTAAGGAGGAAATGTTGTATATATAGCTTGGCCTAATCCTGAGTCACAAGCATCCAACAGAGGTCTTGGAACATATCTCCCCTGAATAAGGGGAAACTGCTGAACAGTCACGAAGACAGGAAGGTCAAACACTACTTCTTTATCTCTGCTCCTCGGGACCTTACACAGATTTGAGTATATGTTAAAAAAGAGGAGCAGAGGAGTAGACAGGGAATAAGTAATTGAATAGCTACAGAAAACAACCTGGAGAAGACAAAATTCTTCAGACTTCTATTGCTAAGCTGTTTCTGGGATACACACCCCAAATCTGTTCCACATTCAAGCCCTATAAACAGCTATTCCCTTGGCTCTTTTACTCATGGCTTTCTGCTTCCGTCATGTAAAGTTCTACTCTGTGTTGGAGTCTTGTTTTCCTCCAGTCTCAAGCCTGGAGGGACTCTATTCCTGTGTTCACTCATATAGAAATACAACTTCCTTCAAAAGCCTACAATTTACACTTAATCTTCTGAGAAGTTTTTCTCTGCTCCCTCTCACCTAAACCTTGAGCACCTTCTTTTTCTTCCTCCTTACTCTTTTCAGAACTTGTGCTAAATAAACTCATCCATTTGGTACTTTTTCATTGTATTTTCTGATTACTTTCTATTTGCTTTTCCTAAGTATTGATAACCTTGGCTATTTCATAATTTCAAAAGCTAGTGTCATTCTTACAATAACACCTAAAGAGCTGGGTCAAAAATAACCAAATATCTACTGTGGCGAATAGTTCAATTTAATTTGTCAAAACTCAGTAAGAAGCTCTTGGAGATGTTTGCATCTCCCTTTTTTTTAGTTTATTTAGTAGGGTCTCACTATGCAGCTTGGGCTCATTCTCCTGTTTTCAACCTCTCCAGAGTGGATTACAAGCCTATGCCACCATGCCCAGTCTCGGTGGCCAGCTCAATGGTGCTGGGGATTGAACCCCAATCCCTGAGCTTGCCTAAGCAGGAGCTTAGTCTGCTGAGCTAACTTGCTGGCCCTCTCACCTTCTTGTTCAGGACAATTAGATTCTGTTCTGTAATGGTTAAGCCAGTGAGTCTGCCTGCCCACCTGTTTTCTCTCTGACTCTGTCTCTCTTCCTCCCTATCTGTGTCTCTCTCTCTTTTTCTCTCTCTCTCCATCTCTTTCTCTCTGTCTCTCCCCCTGCTCTTTCTCTCCCCCTGCTTCAAACCTATAAAAGTTTCTCTCCAAACTGACCAAAGACGTCAGTATAAAACAAAACATAGGGTATAACTGAAATACTTTTGACATCTTTTTTAAGTGTAGCAAAAAAGGGAGAATTCAAGTTGAACAGTACAATCCTGAACTCACCTTCTTCTGTAGGATTAAACCCACAGATGTCACAAATACACCGGACCCACTTGTTCATCTCCTCCTCACTGTCTGCTACCAAGTAGAAAATCCGGTCAATAGTGTTGATATCAAAAATGTAGCTGTTTTCAAACTCTTTCTTGTTAAATGTCAATCCAGCGTCAACTTGCTGACATAAGTTGAGATCGATAATACGAATAGGCTTCTTGGCATGATCATTTTTATAATACTCCAAGACATCTGGATCTCCAGTCAAACGGCCACTGCGTAGCACAAACCATCTTCTCTTCCATGCCTAGGAATAATAAAAAAAAAGTATCCGTTTAGTATTAGAGAAAATTACTGAAAAAGACACACACTTATTAAGCCAATTTTGTAAGTGCATTGTCTAGAAAAAGTCACAGTTGTTTTCTACAGGATAACTGGCCACTGTTAATGGCAAAGTTAGCAGGGGTTCAAATTAACTTAATGATGTCTAAGTTTAGAATCTTCTAGGAACTCTCCTCTGATATAATATCAAGTCAACAAACCAATGAAAGCTTGATTTCTGCTAAATATACAAATAACGGTTTCAACAAATTATGTTGGGGCCAGGGGTATAACAGCGCCTGCCTGGCAAGTGTGAGGTCCTGAGTGCAATTCCCAATACCAAAAGCTATCATGCTGGGAGAGAAAAGGATATAAATACACAAAGGAGTAGACATACAAGCAGTGGCAAAAGGACAAACAGTGTATGACTCTTCTTATAGGAGCTCTCTGCTGTGATCAAGTTCCCAGGAACAGAAAGCAGAACAATGGTTTCTGAGGACTGGTGGGAAGGGGATCCAGGGAGTTCGTGTTTAGTGGGTACGGTTTCAGTTGGGGAAGATAACGAGAATTCTACAAATGCACAGTGGTAACTGTTGAATAACAACCCGTTGTCCTTACTAATACTACATTACACAGTCAAGACAGAACGCTAAACCACCCAGTTTAAAAAGATTAAAAAAAAAAAAAAAAGTAATGGATTTTCATGCTTTACTATCACTCCTCTTCCTAAGCTTCTTACAGACTTTATAGAATTCATTCTTTCTCTCTATCTCTCCCCAACTCGTGTGTGTGTGTGTGTGTGTGTGTGTGTGTATGTGTCTGTTGCAGGGCAAGGAGGGATAAGGGGCAAAACAGCTTTCGAAACTGCTGCCTAGAAAGCAAGCACCAGATGCCTCTCCCTTTTGGCCAGCGGCTCACTTACAGATTCTACAGAGCTGCCTGCATTCTCTGATACGAGATACAACTTTCTTAGACTTTCTCATCTTCCCAGCAATCTAGATCTGTCCTCAGTATCACCTCCCTTCAAAGATTTTGTATTTTTAAATTCTGAGCTTAATATTATGCCTAAGGAAGGGCTAACACCTCTTACTACTATCCACTCCAAAATCTTTATTCACTAAGAAACAATCATAGCAGAATGAAATGACTGAGTCTTGTTCCTCAAGCTTTAAACTCTATACATCTGCGTCTGGACAAGCCTTACTCCTTTTTGAGGTTCATCCTTCAGAACAGTTAGCTAAATTTGTCCAAGACCTTATTTTAGCAAGTCATGGTCACCTATGGTTATGGTTTACATCTAAAATGTCCCCAGAGAGCTTGATGTCTGGAAGGTGACTGGGTCCTGGTGTGCCGGACTCCTCAGTGGATTCAGCCACTGGTGAGCTCGGTAGCTAAAATACACAATCTTTGGAGTGAGGAGATAGTGAGCACAGGTCTAGATTGCTGGGAAGATGAGGAGAAAGTCATTAGGAGGTTGGCCCGGACAGCAGAGGGGACTGAGCCGGAAGGGCGCACTCTTGCACATGTCTCCTCCCTTCTCTCTCTGCTTCCTGGCTTCCACAAGTTCGCCTTCTATGTCCCATCATCCCCTTTGCCAGCTAATCATGTGCGAAAACTGCAAGCCAAAATCAACTTCTCCTTTTAAGTAGCAGGTAGTGGGTGTTTTGTCCTAGTGACAAGAAATCGGCTAGGACACCCAGTAAGAGACCTTCTATCCTTGGACTAAACACTGGACATCACCTCCCCGGAACAGGCACTCTGGCCAGCAGAAGGACACGGCACAAAGCCCCGTGGAGTCACAGGTCCGCACTGCCCTTTCTGTCCACTTGGAAATCACGGCGAAGCACCTGGCACAATGTTTCCGTGCATCAGTTTCAGGAATTATCACCACAAGTAACAAGTCTCTTCTCCAGGGACAACCTGGGTTACAGCAGCCCTGTGCTTCCAGGAATTTTAACTCACAGTTTCATGCTAAGCAGAAATGCAGTCGGACCAAAGATGCTCACTAATGATCCCAAAGTTCACATATGCTAATTTCCCCAAAATACTATGACTGTGTTTCCACTAACATACGTACGTCAATAAAACAATCACTCGAATCTACTAAAAGCCCCCCAAAGCAATGATAGGTTCTCCATGTTTTTGTTTCCTCACAAAATTTGGAAAATGCAATACAGAGGAATTATAGAGACAATTTTAAACTGTAGCTGGCTATGTTTCATCCTGAAAAGCACACAAGAAAGAGAAAATAAAAGGATTAATAACTAAAATACATTTGTTTCTCTACTAGATATTTAGCCTTAGCTTCTATTATCATCAAATTTTATAATAAATTCTGATAGGAAGTGGTTTTTTGAGTCATAGTTCCCTGTTAGAGGCTAGAAAAGTATGACACTGGTTGGAAACAGAGTGGGGAAACTTACAGAAAAGGATCCTCAGGGATCCAGAAGCTGACTTCCCAGTTTTTAGTACAACAGACAATTATACGGATAACTGGGTTCCTAAAGGTGATGACTTTAGGAGTAGCATTTCAAGAGATTCTTTAAGTTACATCCACTCAGGAAAATTTAGGTAGCTGGTTATTCCAAAAATACTGTGCTCTGAAAAAACTTATAATGAGAGAAAAAGACATATAGAGAATTCATATACCTACCCACCCGGAGCTTCCTACTTATGAAGAAAATATTTAAGCTGTATGACAATGCTTTGGCACGTAGTAATTCTGGCCAAACATTTGTCGAGATATTGCTAACAGATAGCTATTCATAGGTGAGGAAATGTACACAATCCTTCAGCATGAAAATTATTAGAAAAATCATAAAAAAGGCCTAGAACTATTAAGCAGTTCTTTAAAATCATTAGCATTTTAAATTAAATTCTCCACCTGAGTACAGTTCAGTGAGAAAAAATACAGAACTAATTTCTGGAAGAAGATAGAGTTCTACAGACATTTTATTTTTTTTTAATATTTTTTAATTTACTTTTTAGCAGAAGCAGGGTAGGTGTTTTAAATATTATTGAAAACTTACAAAGTGTTAGATTCATGTAAATTTGGCCCAGGATTATAAAAATCAGTTCATTTATTATATGCTTATTTGCTTCAAAATAAATAGAAGTCATCCATGAGTAAAATTAAGCCTCTATGGATACTGCCCAGTAAACATGAAAGAATTATGGGGAAGTGCAGGGAGGAGAAAACAGAACATTGCACTTTTTCATCTGGCCATCAGAGAGTCTTTCCCTTGGTGATTGTTCCAGATAGCTGAGGTTTCACTTGTAAATACAGAGAGAACTTCTTCACACTTGCAGAGAAATCTTTCCAACAGGCCTTACTACGTAATTCACTGAACACAATTCATCCACTCCCTCATGATTCAGACTAAGTAGTGCAGCTTCTCTGCTGTATTTCAGCGACCGCCTCTGTGGCTCTGGGGCCCCCAGTTCACACAGTACAACCCTGCTGGGTCTGTACAGTTCACCTATCATCTTTCAAATGCAGCTTCTGTCTTTTCTCTCAAATTTTATCAACTGTCACTTTTCTCTCCTGATAATTTGATATCAGGAAGCCAAGCTCTTTCCTGTTGCAGAGACTTCTGCACATGCTACTTCCTAGATCTATCGTGTTCTTTCTCCTGGTCTCTGGCCCTTCAGCCCTCTCTTTCTCAACCATCTTCAACCCAATATCCCAATGAAAGCAGGATGTAGTCTTGGGGACCCTGAAGTCTGACCACACTGTGATCTTTATAAGGCTACAAAGATCAAGTTTTCTTCATATTACACTATTTGTTTTCAGCATCTGAGACCCTAACCACACTGCAAAATCTAACAAGATAATGGCTACATCTGCTGCATTGTATTCCATACCCAATACACAACACAGTACCTACTACACTGAAATATTTATACAGCCAAAAAAGAATTCCCCTATAAGTACAAAGCTGTAAAATTTGTGAGAGTATTAAATTTGCTACATGGGATACAATGAAAAGAAATGCTTTTAAAGCCTTTTCTACCCGAGGAAAAAAGCTCCAATATCGCATGCTTATGTGACAAGTAAAACTAAGATAACTATACCAAAATGCATGCATAGACATCTTGGGAACATAACGAAAACAGAAAAGAATGTGTATGCCTTTGGCTGTGTCATGCTTTGTGCTCCAGCTGTCTGTGGCTTCTCCCATCCATTCCTTTGCTTCTCTGTTTAAATCACATCCTTGAAATCCTCAAAGCCCCTAGGAAGCAAAACAGCTAAGAAGTGAGTAGCCATGTGCTAAGGTAGCTGCACGGGATGCCCTGGGCCAGCGATTACAGAGGCCAATAGACGCTATACAAAGCATGACTGCTTACAGCAGGAAATTACCACATTAAAGCGCAGAATTTAGCCAAGTAGCACCTGCTACTTATTTATTTATTTTTAACATGGTCCAAATGTGAATGTTTGTCTCAGTCTCAAAATGAGTCACTCTCACTGAATCTGGCACCGATATAACCGGACAACAAAAGCAATTACATAAACTACACACTTTAATAAGGCAGATACAAAGGTTCTCTGGATTATGGTACAAAGCACAATTTAGCCACAGAATAAAGCTTCAAGCTTGACAAGAGGACTGACATCAGCACCCTCGCTAATCACAGCACAAAAGCGTCTCTATGTTTGGTCAGAGCACAAACGGGCCTGCATAAATCAGTCTTTGTTATCTGAAAATATCTGGGATTCTTAAAGTTTGTCCTATTTTTATCCTTGCTGCCTTGGTAGCCCCAGGGAAAGCTGTGCACGGCTTCACCAACCCTGCCAAGCAGTAACAGACAAAACGGACAAGTTTTCCAGAAACCCTCAAAACCAAATCCTCAAAGCAACTGTAAACAAAATTTATGTGAAAAAAAAAAAAAATCCCAAAAACATTTTAACTAATTTGACTTCTATTATGAACAAGGAGACAAAGAGAAACTTGCAAGAAGCTTTCATAGTTGAGAACTATTTTG